TTTCTTGTTTGTTACGGTAAGCTTACTCAGTGCGTGGCACCTAGGAAGCACTGTCTGGATAGGAACAAATGAAGAAATGCAAATTTTGCTAAATAACAATTTAGTTTACTTCTTTATTTTGAAAGTATTTTTATTTCTACAGTCAATTTCTGATTAGATTCCAAATAATAGGAACAGAAGCTTGGAAATAAATCTTGGTAGATTCAGGGTATGGGCTGCTAAAACAAATCTTTTATTTTATTGCCAGATTTTAACATTTGTAGTCCTCTATTCCTCACCTAAAAGTCATTCAACTTCTTATAAGAATGCACATTTGAAAAAGGTAAGGGCCAGACTTGTGGACACATTGGTTTGTACTCATTGTACTACACTCAGTGGCACACACTGATAAGATTGGTCAGATGTCTGTCATCTTTGAGTACTGTTTTAAAATACATTATTGCCCGAAAGAAACAATTAGGAGTGTGAAGAGAGAACCCACAGAATGGGAGCAAATCTTTGCTAGCTGCTCCTCTCACAGAGGATTAATATCTAGAATATATAAAGAACACAGAAAACTTTACATCAAAAACTCAAACAACCCAATTAATAAATGAGCAAATGAATTAAACAGATACCTCCGTTTAAAGAAGAAATATGAAATATATGAAAAATGTTCAACATCATTAGCAATTGGGAAATTTATATCAAAACTATACTGAGATTTCATCTCATATAGTCAGAATGTCAGTCATCAAGAATACAAATAAAAATGCTGGAGAGGATGTGGAAAAAAAGGAACACTTTTATACTGTTGGTGGGATTGTAAATTAGTATAACCATTATGGAAATTAGTATGGAAGGTCCTCAAAAGACTAGGTGTGGAACCATCATATGACCTAACTATACTATTCAGTACTTATCTTGAAGAATCAAAGTCATTATACTACAATGATACATGCATACTCATGTGTATAACAACATAATTCACAATGGCCAAACTATGGAACCAGCCTAGGCATTCATCGGAAGAATGGATGGATGTATAACCAATGTGATCCTGCAATTTGTACATGTGGAAAAATGAGAATTCATACCCTATTTGAATCAAATGTATGATATGTCAAGATCATTGTATTGTCTTGAGCAACTAATAAAAAAAAGAAAATGTGGAATATATACACAATGAAGTTTTACTGAGCCAAAGAAAAATGAAATTATGTTATTTGAGCAAAATAAGTTAAACTCTGGTCAGGGGTTATATATTTTCTCGTATATGTGGAAGCTAGACAGGAGAAAAGAAAAAAAAGTTGGAGCTTATGAAAATCAAAGTGAGATCCATAGCAGAAAGGTGCCGAGGAGTGGGAGGTGGGGAGGGAAGGGGGAAGTGCTGGAGTGGGAGGTGGGGAGGGAAGGGGGAAGCGCTGGGGAGTATCATTGGCCAAATTATATTGTCATAATATATGCACATATGAATATGTAACAACAAATCCGATCATTATGTACAACTGTAATGCACCAATAAGAGTGGGGGAAAAAGTATGAAACAAAAAAAGAAATCTTTTTAGGGGGGATAAAATATGTTATTGCTGGAGATAAAAGGATGAAACACTAAACACTAAAACTAAGTATGTCCTTGACTTGTAATGTGGCCCTTAGACTCCTTGGGACCTAACCCAGGGTGTGACTGGATATAATTTTGGTGATGATTTACTTTATTAGTTAGCTAATATCATATAATAAGCCAGTAAGGTCAGGCTAATTATGTTACAGTCAGCAGGTGTTTTCTAGAAAGATTAGATCAATGAGTAATGGTAATTGAAGCTGAGTAATTAATTGTGTGATTTTTGAGATATTCAACTGTAATTCTACTTAAGTTTCATCCTGAAAGGAGAGCAGTAGAAGGGATTATCAACAAAAGGAATGTGCACATAAAAATGCACTTGATTCATTTTTGAATTGTGTCTAGACCCCTGATCACCAGAAAACCCTGGCTGGTCCCATTCTAGAGAGACTGTGTAACTCTGCCCAGCTTCCTTCCCTGCTGCCTTCTCTCTCCTCACTCTTCTTGGTCTGCAGTTCCCCTGCTGTGCTTTGCAGATTCTGGCCTTAACCGCACTTAACTGTTCTCTTGTGTTTGGAATCTCTTGCTCCTTGATCCAGCTAACACTTTGTTTTTAGAACTCAACTTAAATAGTAGCTACTGGAAGCTTTTCTGACCCCTAGTCTGATTTAGTTGCTCCCCTTTTCTCATAGCATCTTTATTGTATTCTACTTTAGTAATGTCATTTAGTAATGTCAGTCCTTTTTGCTGATTGCCTAAAGGGCAGGGATGGTTTGGAGGTGCTTTGTTGAATGAATATATAAATATTTGATTTTTCTAAATATTCCGTAGAGGTAGCACTAAAAGTCCATTAGAAATGACCCTTTTATCAGCTACATATAGAATTTAAAAAATAGTTTCTAATATATAGCATGTCAAAAACCAAATTGTGATATTTTAAATTTATAATTTCTATTCCCTGTTTTACTCAAGCTTTAATAAATCTTAAAACCCAACTTCAGCTGGTTTTATGTAGTATGAAGAGACTCTGGAATGGGTACTCTGGATTTGAATGCTAATATTGATACTTCCAGGGACATTTTAGGCAGGTTATTCACCTTTTGTTTTGTTTTGTGGTGTTGTGGATTGAGCCCAGGACCTTAATAGTGTTAGGCAAGTGCTTTACCATTCTTAGCCTTAGGTTATTCTTCTTTAACCTTGGTTTCCCCAGCTACATATTTTGGGGGTCAAAATAAAAATAATGCCTACCATATAACACTGTGGTGGAAACAACTGAAAACATATAAGTAGTTGAAGATTTTGCATAGTCCACTCCTAAAAATGCTGCTGACGGTCTCATTCTCATTGTTTGTGAACCCATGGAATTTATAGAATGTAGAGTGGTTTTTGTTCTCTGAGCTGATGGGTAGACTTTGTTAGTTCTCAGTTTGATCTAGAGGAATTTCAAGTTAATGACATTGTACCTCCTTTTTTGACTTTGATATGAGACCTGCTTGATGTCTCATGCAGCATCATGAGCCATTAAATCAGCACCACCCATGAGCCATACTTCAATCTAAATGGCAAAGCCGCTTAGAGATGATGAGGCCCTGGAAGGCAGTCATCACTGCTGCTGTGGAACTTGTTTGTCTCCCAGTTTTTGCTGGGCTAGAGGGAGAATAGATGTTAGTTTGCTTTCAAGAAAGTTTCACTGTGAGCCCCATGGGTAGGGCGCGCGGCCAGCACCTTGCCAGGGTAATTTTTCTTGGTCAGGAGTAAGCCACCTGAGAAAATAAAGTCTGAAATAAAATTAGTGAGGAAATAAGACAAAGTCAGAATTATAGTTTTAAGAAGCATGGAGCACCTAATAGGTCCAGCCCACACAGGAACTGGAGCTGAAAAACTAAAAAATAGCTCTGGTTCTTTATTTAAGGGGGTACATCAAAGGCAGGGATAAGGTTTCAGGGTGGAATCTTGCTTCATGATGTCTTTTTCAGTCAACAGGTTGATTGGCATTTTGGCAGGCTCCACCCATCTCTGAAAGGCTGTGTGGCTACAGTAGGTCACCCCATCTCCTGTGCTGTGTAGGACCTGGCAGAGCTAAATAGGACTCACATGTGTCTGGACAATCTTACCAGCAGGATTGCTGCTGGAAGTTCCCAAATACCAGATTTTCCTATTCAATGGGCTTCCATGCCAATTTAGTCCACACATAGTCCATAGGTGACTTTTGACATATGGGAACAAGTTTGTGAGCAGTATGGTCAGGTGGAAAATTGAAGGACATGTGTAACCTCATGTGAAAATGTTGCTTGTAAGGTACTAGGGAGTTACCGAAGGAAACTTCTGGAAATAGGCAGGATTATTAAAGAGGGGGGACCCAGTGTGAGATGTGTATTCTCTCTATAAATAGAGCAGTTCAGTGCTTGGATATTTGGGGTATGGAAAAGATGTTTACATTCACCACTCCTGTTTCATTCATGACATGACTATCAGCAAGGCAGGATTTAGGCTTTGAGACCTTCTTGTTCTAGAATAAATGTCAGCGGTATTTTTTCCAAAAAATATTCTGTGACATTCTTAGTTTCTTGGCGAAGTCTTATCTAGCACCACAATATAGCATGTATAAAGTGCTCCCACAAGTTTTTAAGGGAATTAAAGTAGATGTTTTAAAATTGTAGGTATAATTTGGTGGTTGAATAATGGTTTGTTTTGAGGTAACAAAATACTTTTTAATTTTGTATGTGGTGTGGTAGTGTATTTTGGTTTGAGGATGAGACATTTTGCATTGGTAAGTTAAGCTTAAAATGCCCAAGTGCCTTTTAAGCAGCATATGTAACAGAATGTAATTTTACCTTTGTTTGATGACCCAGGGTCGTTTCCAATATCTTTTTTTATTTTTTGGAGGCGGTGGGGGATGTTGATTCAATTTAGTTTTTGACCTTTTTTTATTAAAATTTTTTTTTGCTCATTTGTTTACATAGTATTTGAATAAATCTTGAATGTGTTTTGGAGAACATTTTAATTATGGATAATTTCAAATAAAATAATCAGACAATAGTACAATGAACTCAGAAATTCCATCATGTAGACCAGTGACCATCAACAACAATTAGCCTTAATGTCAGGCTGCCATCTCCTGCTTCAGCTGGTAGTCTGCTGTTTAAACTACCTCTCCTTTTATACAGTTCATTGGTGGTTTGCTGCCAGAATTTCTTTTAGTTTAGAAATTGGTAATCAACTCTGGAAGATTTCTGGGTTAAACAAAAGCAACATTCTGAGTAAGGGCCCAAGGTTTTTTGGGCCTTTATCACAACTATTTTTTTGTATTCCTCAGGTTTAGGGATTCTGTTCTAAAGAATGGTTAAGTTAGTCTCAACTTCGAAAAGTGAGTTTTATTCTAACAGTTTTTCATAGGATGTTTAATACATTTATTATTAGAGGCATTTAAATTTTTTTCTCTCTGCTTTGTGAACAGTCAAAATTTGCTGTGTGATGTCACAATTGTGGCAGAAGACATGGAAATCTCTGCTCACAGAGTGGTGCTGGCCGCTTGTAGTCCTTATTTTCACGCCATGTTTACAGGTATGACATATTTAATTTTGGATTTTTTAAATGTATACAGTCTTGAGCTTTTCTTCCTGTTTTGTTATTAGCATTTTACTTTATGAAAAAAAATTGAATTTGATTGGAAAAAAATGCACTTGCTTCATTCTAAATTCCTGCCCATTTTTGTTTTTTATTGTTGTGATCAGTAAACATGTATATACATATACTCACAGGTCTATTCCCAGCTTAATATTTGTGCATATTTGTTCACTTTGCTTTCCTAGTACTTATGACAGCTTTTTGCACTTGGGCAAAAAGCAATTTTTACTGTTTTATATTTTTTAAATGATTTTCACATTTGCTTCATTTATTAAAATGTTTAATGTCTTGTTTGGAAATACAAGAAAACAGGGTGATTTATCTATAAGGTTACATTTTACTTTGGCATCTGTAAAAATATACAGCATTAATACTTTGGGAAAATAAGTGACTTATGCCTGTCATACTTAAAGCTATAACTTCTTTTTCTTTCTTTCCTTTTTTTTTTTTCCTTCTTCTTGGTACTGAGGATTTAACTCAGGGGTGCTTTGCAATGAATTAGCTATATCCCCAGTCTTTTATTTTTCATTTTGAGACTGGGTCTCACTAAGTTGCCACAGATCCTGCTAAATTGCTGACCATGGTCTCAAATTTGTGATCCTCCTATGTCACTGTCCTGAGTTACTGGGATTACAGGCATGTGCTAACATGCCTGGCTCATAAATTCATTTTTTAAAAAAGAAATTTAATTATATAGTTCTTCCTTATTGATGTGGAATATCATCTAAGACCCCTAGTGGATGCCATAAGTTGTGGACAGTTCCAATCCCTATTTGTTCTTTGTTTTTTTTTTCCTGTACTTACATATATACCAGAAAGTTTAATTTATAAATTAGGCACAGTGAGAAAATAACAACAGTAATATTATTAACAGAACAATTATATTAATGTAGAACAATTACATCAACAGACTATAATGAAATTTTCAGCTTCTCTGCCTTCAAGCTTTGGGTCCATTATTAGGTACAATAAGGGTTACTTGAAATAAGCACTGAGATACCATGACAATTAATTTGGTAATCCAGACAATTACTAGTGACTAATTGATGGGTAGCATATATGCATGGATGTGATGGATAAAAAGATGGTTCATGTCCCAGGTGGGACAGAGCAGGTAGCCCTGGATTTCAGCATGCTATTCAGAATGGTGCACAATTTAAAACTCATGAATCCCATTTCTGAAATTCTTCATTTAGTATTTCTAGGCTATGGTTGACTGAGGTTAACTGAAACCATAAAAAGTAAAACCTTTGATTGGGAAGATAACTGTACTGATGTATAAAGCAATGAAGTTATTTCTTCCATCAGTGAATTTATAATTATTTTTGTATTGGTACACCAAACAGAAAATACAAATTTAAATAAAATGATGACAAAAGGCAAAAACAGAAAGCTATTTATACTTTCAAGACTATTACATATTTCTTGTGCCTAACATATTACAGAATACTTCAAGGAATACAACATCAATATGAATGTGTTTCCTGCCCCAGTAATAGATGGGGAAATGAGATGTGCACATCTAAAATAGGTAATAGTGTGTATAGACTATGTTCCCACACCAGTGGCACAGGTGGTACGGACTGTGATGGGCAGCATTGAGAGAAGGGTTCTGATGTTTCACGTACACAGAAGGTCAGTGCAGTACACTGTTTGACAGCTTTTTGTCTCTGTGACCAAAGCACCTAACAAGAACAATTTTAAAGGAGGAAAAGTTTATTTTTGGCTCACGGTTTCAGAGCTCTCAGTTCTTGGTTGGAGGACTTCATTGCTCTGGATCTGAGGTGAGGCAGAACGTTCTGGAGGAAGGGAATGATGGAGGAAGGCTGCTTAGCTCATGGCAACTAGGAGGTAGAGAGGTGGGTGAAAGGGGCCAGGGACAGGTATAGTTCCTCAGGCCACCCTTCCAGTTTCCTGCTTCCTTGAGCCCTGTACTACCTGCCTACTGTTACCAGGCAGTTATCTATTCAAATTATTAATCCAGCAAATGGATTAACACCAGTGAGGTAATATTCCTCATAATTCAGTCTTTTCACCTCAGAACATTATGGCAGGGTCTTGCACATGAGGTTTTTGGGGAGACATTCCAGATCCAAACTGTACGAAGGGCCATGTGGAAAGAATGGACTTAGGGAAAACTTTCCGTGTGTCTTGGAAATAGAGAGGAGGCTGGAGTCCCCCTCACTTTTCAGTCTTATGCAGTTTTGCTGTTCCTGAACAGAATTAAATAATCAGAAATGGATGAAAGACAGCAGAGGGCTGTGAGCCAAGTGGAGGAAGTAATTTGAGAGGGCTCCTTCAGCTGAGGCTGATCTCACTACTAATGAACTGAGCAAGGCAGAGTATTATGTCCCGTGGTTCACTTCAGTCTCTTGGTTTATATCTTATTTATTACTCCTGGACACTTTTCTAGAGTTTGTAAGAAGAGGCTCCAATCTAGAACATGTTGGCCTAATTTAGGAATTTCCTAGTAAAGTGCCATCTTTATGAGGCTTTCCTTGTGATTAAACTGCTATTGCTTCTGGCTTGTTGTAAGTGAATTGAATGTCTCAATTATGTTTTTTTCCCCAACTTTATTGAGGTGTAGTTTATATATTTATAAAAATTGGGCTGGGGATATAGCTCAGTTGGTAGAGTGCTTTCCTCACTCTACAACACAAGGACCTAGGTTCGATCCCCAGCACCAAAAGAAAGAAACAACAAAAAAACTACTATAAAAATTAACCCATTTTGAGTGTACAATTCAATAATCATTTTTATAACACTTTCCCCACATAGCATTTTTCTTCTTCTTTTTTTAAAATTAGTGCATCATAGTTATACATAGTAATGGCTTCATTTTGACAAAATCATACATGCAAGTAACTTTATTTCAAGCCCATTCCCCCCTTTGCTTTTCTTCCTCCCTCCCCTATTCTTCCTCCTCTACTCTATTAAACTTCCTCCTTCTACATACACATAAAAATGAAATTCCCTTTGTTATCTTTATATGAGCAGATAACACGACTTTGTTAAATTCATTCCATTGATCCTCCCCTTTTCCTCCCTCCCTCCCTCCCTCTCCTTCTCCTACATCTGTGTTCCACTAATCTTCCCTTTATCTTTGATATCCCATCTCTCCCCCACTGCCTCTTTCCCTCATTTTGCTCTAGCTTCTGCATATGATAGAAACATTGGACCTTTTATTTTGCTTATTTCACATAGCATGATTTTCTCCATTTTCATCCATTTACTGGCAAATGTCATTATTTTATTCTTCTTTATGGCTGATTAAAACTTCATTGTGTATGTATGCCACATTTCCCTGATCCATTCATCTATTGATGGGCATCCGGGTTGATTCATCATTTGTCTCTTGTAAATTCTGCTGCTGTATCTCTAAGGTATTGCTGATATTAGATCTTTTGGGTAAACATCAAAGAGTGGAATAGTTTGGTTGTGGGGTGATTCATTACTAGTTTTTTGAGGAATCTCCACACTGCTTTCCAGAGTGGTTGTACTAATTTGCAGTCACACTAACAATGTAAAAATGTACCATTTCCTCCACATCCTCCTTAGCATTTATTATTGTTTGTGTTCTTGACAATTGCTATTCTGACTGAAATGAGATACAATTTTGGTGTAGTTTTGATTTGCATTTCCCTGATTGCTAGAGATGCTAAACAGTTTTTCATGTATTTCTTGGCCATTAGTGTTTCTTCTTTTGAGAAATTTCTGTTTAGTTATTTTACCCATTTATTAATTGGGCTATTGCTTTTTTGGCATTGAATTTTTTGAGTTCTTTATATATTCTGGATAATAATTCCCCTGTCAGAGGAGTAGCTGGCAAAGATTCTCTCCCTTTCTGGAGGCTGTCTCTTTACCATCTTGTTTGCTTTGTTGGGCAAAAGCTTTTTAATTTGATGGCATCACACTTATTGATTCTTGGTTTTATTTTTTGAGCATTAGGGGTCTTGTTGTAGAAGTTTGTGCCTGCATCTATACAATGGGGCATTGACCCTCTGTTTTCTTCTAGCAGTTGGAAGGTTTCTGGTCTAATATCTAAGTCTTTGATCCATTTTGATTTGACTTTTTTGCAGAGTGAAAGATAAAGGTCTGATTTCATTTTTCTAAGTAAGGACATCCAGTTTCCCCAGCATCATTTATTAAAAAGCCTATATTTTTTCTGGCATATATTTTTGGCACCTTTGTCAAGTATCAGATGGCAGTATAAATTGGGTTTGTCTCTCTGTCTTCTATTTTATTATGTTGAACTTCACGTCTGTTTTGATGCCAGGATCATGCTGTTTTTGCTACAGTAGCTCTGTAGTATAATTTGAGACCAGGTATTGTGATGCCTCCTGCATTCCTTTTCTTGCTCAGTATTCACATAGCATTTTTGAGGTTCATCCATATGTTTAAAAGGAAAGTTTATTCCTTTCTAATTGCTAAATAGTATTTCACTTTATGAATATATCACATTTTGACTGTTCATTTATCAGTTCATGGACATTATGTTATTTCAGTCTTTGGCTATTAGGAATAATGCTGTTGTGACCATTCATATGCAATTCCTTATGTGGACATAGATTTTCATATTTCTTGGGAGTACATATATAGAAGTAGAGTTTCTGAGTTACATGGTCAATTTATATTTAGCGTTTTAAAAAACTGATAAGCTGCTGGGTGTGGTGGTACATACCTGTAATCTCAGAGACTGGGGAGGCTGAGGCAGGAAGATCTCAAGTTCAAAACCAGCCTCAGCAACTTAGCAAGTTGTTAAGTAACTTAGTGAGACCCCATCTCAAAATAAAAAATAAAAAAAAGATCTGAGGATGTGTCTCAGTAGTAAAGTGCCCCAGGTTCAATCCCTGGTATCAAAACAAAACAAAACAAAACCTGCTAAGCTGTTTTCCAAAGTAGCTCTCCCATTTTATATTGTTATCAATAATGCATAG